AAACTCTTTCATTTACTTAAGTAGTTTGGAAAGATTTCGCGCAGAATTTAAAAAGAAATTGTCTGACAAAAAGAAGAAAATACGTCAAAGTGACATTTATTTATAGAAAAAAATAATTAATATTAAACATAAAAAAAATTCGGATGCGATGTAAATAATCAGTGCAAAATCCTAAACAATTCAAAAAGCAGTGTTAATAATGTAATTGTTAAAAAAAAGAGAAAAAAAACAAGAACGATGTTTGATCATCACCATCTAAAACTTAGTACGCAGAATCCATTTTTTACAAGATGAATCCACACAACAATAAGTATAGGGAATCGGATTTATCCGAGACCTCAATGGACCAGGACAGTGAGGCAAGTTTAATCATCATCCCGGACTCTGAAGACTCCAGAAATACATTATACTCCACAATAGTTGATGTCATCGAGTCAAACTCTGGCGGAATCTTGGACTACACACAAGAAATTCCAGATAAAAGAAACTGTAAATCTACAGAAACATCTTTTATAGAGGACAACATAACTGAAGATTATTCTAATTATTCTACAACCATATCAAGAACATTAAGCGAAAATCTGTTTTATAGCAATGAGATTTTAGAACCGTATCCTCAGACTTACTCCGTAACTCCTGCTAACCTGGGAGATCAGCTCATAGCCAGGAATGTACTCAAAGGAGAAAATTCATCGAACCTTACAATTGAATTAACAGATGATAATCATACACATACCATAGTTCCATATTTATGCGGAAATAGTAGCCGTAGTAACGACGATCCAACAAAGAATTATCAAAGCTCATGTAAATCTCAAAAAAATGAAGAATCTAACGCATGTCCTGACAAAACTAAAACAGAAGTATGTCAAGGTAACTCTAAACCACCTGAACCGAAATCATGTAAAATCAGTAACGATTCTAACATGAGTTTGGAAACTAAGAAAATTTGTGCAAGTATGTTTTCTACTACAAGTGTAGCACCTAAACGCCACGTTCCAGCCCCTACTGTAAGCCAGGATACAAAGGATATCTGTGAAGGTAAGGCTAAAAGCTCAAAGAAAGCAGATACTGAAACAAAACATTCTTGCATGACAAATGATCCAACCAGGTGTTGTGCAACCATGCTGAGAGCACCAAAATGTGATCCTGATGCTTTAAAACCACCACCAAAAAAGGAGACAAAAGTATCCTGTTGTTCGATTGCGCCTCAAGCGAAAAAATCTCTCTCAGATTTGCAAAAGTGTCCATACACCGACGAAATACCAAAACCATCTGAAGCTGATTCACAAATTAAATGTCCATTTAGAGATCATTCACAAACTGAATCTTCCAATGACCAGAATAAACAATCAGAATATCAAAAGTGCCCATTTAGAGACGATTCAAAATCTGCAATTGATAAACCATGTCATTCAGAAAAATGTCCATTTAGTAACGATTCCAAATCTAACCATTCCATTTGTCAAAACAAAAGCTGCGCTGCATATTCGGCTTCGTCAGAAAGAAGAGATTCTACCAACGTAAGCGCCGAGAAGGTATTGAGTTGTACAGGGTCTGAAGAAAAAACAAAGGAATGTAAAAACAAACCTAGCTACTGCTCGAATACAATGATCTTGAGGGAGTCCGTAACTATGATGAACGATCGTTTCTCAGTTTTAAATCTAGACAAACGTCCGTCGAAAATTAATATAGAGAATATGCAATACATGCACGCGGAATCTCAAGACCAACCAGCATCTAACTCCATGGAGGAGGAAAGGCTCAGCGCAAGCAATCTACTGACAGAGTCGCAGAGGAATATCAACGCATATTACGGCTTCAACAGCAAACCTAAAAACATACAAAACTGTATGAAAATTAAAGTTATTCCTTCTACAGCACATTTAACACATAGCGAACTAAGCGTGATTAAAATGAAAGTAGATCGGAACGAAACGATACCGACGTGTAAAATTACCTCAGATGATTTCACTTCCATGGCTAAAGGTTTCTTTGGATGTATTTATACTAAAACTAAAGATGCAACAACATATATAACACGTGAAAGTGTCAGACTATTAGATGCGGTCAACCATAAGACTCAATCTTGTAACACAGACGAGACTTTAATGCCGGTTAAGGTTAGCAAAGATAAATCCATTGAGACGCCTTTAAGCTATTTGATGCGAAATAATGGTTTACCATTAGCGATGGTTGATCAAGGCACGAGTAAAAATGAGAAGCGTAAACGTGGAACTAAACTTGGTAATGAATCACCGCACGCATCTTTCTCAACTGTAAACCTTTGTTCTTGCAGTAGGAAATACAAGTCACCAGATTTTTCCAATATCGGTGTCCAAGAGCCACCGCAACCGATAAACAGCGTGTTTACGGCTATAAAATCAAAAATATTCTCGATCTTTAGAGATGACGATACAGCGACCGAATCTTGCAAATCGAAAAACTCCAAATCGAGTTCACAATCTGAAGATTCGGACAGCGAAAGCGAAACACTTGAAAGCATGCTGCCTAAAAGGAACTGATTTTTTGTTATTCTCATTTCATATTATATCTTATATCAATATTATTTTGTTTAATTTTTAGCACATGTAGTTTGAAATTGTGTAAATTAATTTTGATTAAAGTATTTCGAAAACTGAACTAGATAATACTGAATTTAATTTTGATGCAAAGTTGCCAATTTTCAAATACGTTCGTTTAAAAATAATTATGACATGATGAATAAAACAACAATTACACCCTTAACTTCGGATAGGCTTGGGTCGCGGACGAGAGCGAAAGCGTGGTCCCGTCCCGATGCTTTGGAGGCACAGAGAGGTTTAATGGGTATGCCTCCGCTGAGTAGGAGAATCCCACATACGTACCGCATCCCACCCGGGGCGCGCAGTATGCATAAAGCATTCCTCTCGGGAAAAAAGAGGGTAGGCTCCGAGCCCCTCGGTGGGCACGTATAATGAGCTGACGATGATGATGATGATGAATAAAACAACAAAAACCTTGGATCTTTGTCTGGAATCGAATTTAGGTTTTATGATGTAAGATACATTAGAAATTTTACTACACCTTACATTAAAACTGTATTTTTGCACACGATTTTTGAGAGAAAGCAGCACGATTTTTATCTTTGACACAAACCTTCATGCTGCCAGAAACAACTGGCCACTTTCTTAATCCTCTAATCAAACTCTTCTGTCATTAATTTCTCCATTTCAATCAATATCTATAATAAAATCAAAGCAATATTTAAAATTATACCATGTAACTTTCACCATACATATCCATCCAATTCAAAATGTCTGAGGATAATTGCAACGATAGTAAAAACATGCAAATGAGATGTCTTCCTTGTGTGATGCCGTATACAGAGGACATAGAGAATCTAGGTCAGGCCGCTGCTAAGGGAAAGACGGGGAAGAACCAACCAAATGGTCCATGTCACGGGAAGATTGACGACGTAGACGGTTCCTGCCAGTGTACTCCTGAGAGACCTTGCTGCAATTTCGAAGACGTTGAGAAATCAGAAGAACCATAAAACAAACAAAATACTTAATAAATTATTTACCAGAGTGATCTAAAACTATAAAAATCATGGATGATCTTACAATTTCTCTGATAGAGGAAGTAAAACGCAATGTAACCAGACGAAATTATTTTGACGATAATTTAGACGATACTGAAAAATATCGTCTTGAGCTTCTCAAAGATACAAAGGCCAATAAGAATAGTAAGTTACAATATCTTACTTCTTACTAATATTATAAATGTGAAAATTTAGATGAATGTTTGTTTGAAGGTATCTCCAGAGCGGTTGAACAGATCGATTTTGAACACAACATGGACTGGAAGAACACATAGGTTACAATTTTTTTTTCCGCGCGGACAGAGCGAGGCGTCAACTAGTTTTAAATAAATAAAATTTGTAAAGATAAAAATCGCGGTTATTAACCAATTAGATCTCTAGTACTTACTTAACTTAAGAATTCAAACTATATAACTTTCATACTTACATTTTGATTTACTCTAGATGAAAATGTTTTAAAAAGAATACATGTGGATTTTTAAATTAGTATTATAAAAATTAGTTATGTTTTCTTTTCTAGATAGTATTACCTATGGTTTTTATATCAGACTGTCTGTCTCTCGCTACACCGTCCGTGCGGAATTAAAATACTAGCCTATGTGTTCTTCCAGACTATGTTCTATATGTATGCCAAATTTCATCGCGATCCATTCAGCTGTTCGGGAGATACCTTCAAACAAACATACATCTAAACATTCGTATTTATAATACTGGTGTTAATATATTTGTGTTTTGGCTACTAGTCAATAAATTTCAACTGCGTACACTGCGACTAAAGAATTTATGAACAATTTTTTTTTAGATGCAAGTAGCGTCATCTATGTGAAGCCATGTGAAAACAACGATCCCTCGCAACCTTGCGGTACAAAGCATAATTTCTATAAGAGACATGTTTCCACGCCGTTCCTCTGTTCGGAAAAAATAAAGAACCCTGTGATCGTAAAGGAGGAAGACAGAATCGAAGAAAATTAAATGTATAAAAGTACTGTGAACTACACAAGTGTAATAAAGTAATTTTATAGGAATAAATTGTTTAATTTACGTCTTTGACCGTGGGTTTCTGATAACAAAATTCTAAGATGATAGACTGGGATGACAATATGTTTTACAAGAAGATTTTGACGTTAAAAACCCACGGTGAGTGTTCAAAAGTAGTTTAAAGTTATATCAGCTGTTGATAGAATCGTTGTTCGCTTTAAAGTCATAAAACTTTTCTTAGTTTCCACAATTATTAAGATTTAGTTCAAAATAGTATGCTGTGCTTAAGATGGGAGTTTCAATAGTAAAAAAATTACATTTCGATTATCGTCATCATTTTGATGTATATTTCATATGTCTCCAAGCAAAGACTCGTATAGCTTTATTAACAAGGCTATAAAAGACTGGCACATTTGAGCAGTTATCTGCTCCGTAAAAAGAAGATTGACATCTGACAAACATCACTCAAAAGCCAACAATAAATTTTCAAAATTAATAATAAACAGTCAAACCATGACTGAAACACTCAATGTAACATGAAAACAAAAAAATGTCACGTCGAACCAACCCCTGAACCTCCCCCGCCCGATCCGTGTAAAATACAGAAGCGCAAACAGCTCGAAAAAGCTGGAGTAAAGATTTGTGAGAAACCGCCCATTCCGCAGCCGTCACCGCCACCAGAGTGCACCGCTATCTGCATAGAAAAGGTAAAGAACCCTCCCCTTGCTGTAAGAAGTCACGACCTGCCTGTAGTGTGCGAAGTCGAGCGCCAGAGAACGGGAACCTCCAGGTGTGACGACATAGAGGCCGCGGTCGCAGCGCATCCTGACCTACCCTGGCCCGGCTGCCCACCCACACCCACTATTCCTCCACCGCCTACCCCCGACCCCTGCGAGGAGCAAGCCAAACGATACAAGCTAGAAGAGTGTAGAGAAAGAATGAAAAGATATCGAGAATAAGATGGACCCCTGCAAGACCCCAAAAACGAAAACGTCGAAGGAGAAATGTAAAAATCCTTGCCAAACAAAGAAACCGTTCTTTGAAAACATTTTGGATAGATTTCGAAGTAAGGAGAAAAATTGTCAAACGACAGGTAAGAAAAGATCTAATATAAATTTTGAAAAGCGCATTGCGAAGCTAGAGAATCTGATAAAGAAGCTTCAAAACGAGATCTGTGAACTGTCGACGAATGCGGAGACCTCTATGAAGGAGATGCAGATGGCCAACCGCGGCTCGTCCGATACCCCTTACCTGCCGGTGCAGGGTTCCGGCGCAAGCGCGTACTCCTGCACGCCGTGTCAAGTGAAGACCATAATAGTCAAAGATATTAATTTCACACGTGAAGATATTGAAAAAATAACCAACAAAATCCCTGAATTACAAAATCTGTTCGATTTTGAGGAATCCTGTTGTTCTTCAGAATCGAGAAATAATACAAGTGAAGATTTAGATAAAGACGATTATGATAACGTAATGGAGGAAGAAGTTGACAAATTAATATATGAACTTAAATCTGAAATCCGTAACAAACTTGGATCCACGAAAGGCAGCGGACCAAAAATAACTGCTTCAAAAGATGAAATGGAATGAAAACTCACATATACTAATAGTAATAGAAGAGTTGTTGTTTTGCTATATTTTGTTATGTAAATTATGACAAAGCCTTTGAAATAAATTTAAAAAAAATCTCAAATTCTCTTTTAATATGTGATTTCGCGTAAACCATCTCCAAAATCCTTGGATAATATTTCTCCATGATGATGATTTTTTCCCAATAACGTCAATCCTTTGAAATCCAGTGATATTTCTTAATAGTCCAAAACCGTAGTTCTGTTGACAAATTTACTTCGTATTGTCATTTTCAGATAATAGATGGCGCTTTATTAAATTTTCCGTATAGAGTTAAAAATAAAAAAAAAATATTTTAAAAATTTAATAGCACTAACAATTATAGTATATTTCATACAAAATACAACATTAAATATATAATTTATCTATATACTTCATAATTAATATATTATTTACTAAAGAAGCGATAGAGAATGACTAGAAAACGAACTTTCTCATATAAATGGAAGAAATACTAAGTTACACTTAATAATATCGAATGTTTATATGAAATAGGTATAAGAAAAGATATACAGACAGCAAAAAAAATCATTACAAAATATATATAAATTGCACATTTTGGCACAAATGTTCATAAATATACTTTTTTAAATTTTTTTAAGTTTTAAGGCACATTGCCGCACATAATACATAATTGTACAAGACATTTTTTGAATATATTAAAAGTAAAATCCGATACCTTCAGTTTTAAATGAGGGTCTATCACGAATTTATACGACATTGTCAAAATTTGTCGTACTTAACGACTGCACTGTACAAATCTAATACAAATTTTATCAATACGTTACCAATACTTTCTCGCAATATTTCGTACTAGACCCTCGGTATAGTGTACACTTAAAACTTGTGTGTAGGCAAAATTAACAACTGTACAGTTGAGATTTTGCCCATAAATGTACAATTTAACTGTACAGTTTTAACTAAAGTTCAATGAGGATTAAGACTTTACTTTTGAAATATTTTTAAACATACATTTTACTATCAATGTACATATTTTTGATATATATAAAACAATCCTTGGAACATAAATTAGTAATAAAACAATCCAATAGAAATTATAAATTTCCTAATTAATAAATAACAAAATATATCAAACCTAGTAGGCTTCCACTGAATTACAAGATATTAAAATCTTATTAACTTTATAAAAGCTAATCTATTAGTTGGTTTTAATAATATTCAGAATAATACAAAATCAATTTATAATTTTATTAACGGCCTAATGTAAGACATATTTTTTTTTAATTTAAAATTACTTTTCTTTCGGCACAAAATGCGAGTACAAATTTTCTCTCTAACTTCATTTACCCTGAATTTAACAGGCACTCAGTCATTCGAATATAAAAAAATATATAAAAAAAAGTTCGACAAATAACATTCACTCGTAAAAAAATAGTTAAAATCACCGATCTCCATAAAAGGATTGGCTGGAAATGATTTTAGCTATGTTATGACGTTGAAGTTACTGACAGTTATCGTATCAACGGCAAAATAGTGAATATCAAATAGGCACAAAATACCACGTCTTATAACCTATCCATTTATAGAGGTCAGTTGAAATATTCCTTGGAAGATTTTTTTTTTAATTTTATGACCTGGTAACATAGACCTTTAGGTTATGGTTTTGGAAGAAAAATATCATTGGTCATTATAGATTAAATACAGAAAATCATCGCATATTTTTTACTCGACCTTTTTTTTTACTTGCAACATAATAAACAAAGCTAGACGTAACCACACTAAAATATTATATTTACAAAATCAATAAATTTCTCCTCAGCACCAGCCCAGCCTCGGGCAGCCCAAAAACCCTAAACGGGTACAAAAAAACCTATACGGTTGCCAACCAGTATAGGGTCAACTAGAAGCCAAAAAATATATCGCTGCTAAATTTATTTTTTTCTCGGAGGAGGTTGCATCGCCGGCTGATGGAACGGATGATACTGCCGCACGAAAATACTGTCCTGGAATTTAAATTTAATAATTTAAAAACAAAATTAAAAACCTCATGTAAGTTGTTTCAGTTTTGAACTAGATGGCGTTAGTAGTTAAAAGTACTAACCACTTCGCTCGGTCCGTTCCCAACAGTTTTCATTTTCCGCTCTTGCAATATTATTTGGTTCGCGGCGCTGTAAAAACCACCCACATTAGTAAAAGTAATTTTTATCTCCATTTTAATGATTAATTAATTAAATATAGTGCGGTTTGTCATAATGTCAAAGTTCTGTCTTACCAATATTATAAATGCGAATGTTTATATAAATGGATGTTTGTTTGAAAGCATCTCCGGAACAGTTCAACGGATTTTGATGAAATTTGGCATACATATAGAACATAGTCTGGAAGAACACAGGCTACAACAGCTGCGGACAACAGCTAATGTAATATAAAGTCCTCACGTGTCCATCTCCTCCTGCGTGAGGTCGAGCGCCTCCTGCATCTCGCGCGAGGTGCTCTGGATAAAGTCCTTATCGCAGTACTTGCCTAGACCTTGCTCCATCAGTACCTGGGAATAGACACATAAGCACACAACAACATATATAGCTGTCTCTATCGTTTCAAAGAGGATAAGAGGGATGACATTATTAAGGATACTGTTAGCTCCTGCAACTTCTATTGCCCAATGAATTTACCAGACTTGAAATACCATAATGTGGTCTCACAGAAGACGCATGAAGTTGTAGAATCTTCGTGTTTCGTCTGATGAAGGATACTGAAGGTCCGATTCTGGTCATTTTTACCTGTTGATTGTTTTATTAAGAAAATTTTATACTCACTCGGGCGATAAGACTCTCTGCAGGATTCACTACACAATAAGGCACGGCGTCGTTCTGTCTGGGCGTTCTGTCACGATCTGCACGCAACAGAATATTAAAAAAAAATTAGTAAATGTAGCGATGTAGTTCCATATTGGTTAGTCTGAAATATTATCTATAATATTTAGAAACTAGAAAAGGAAAACTAGTATTGATTTACATAACCCATGCTGCATGCTCCGCTAGACATAAAAACATGTTCGTTGTCTACCTTGTTTGTCTCATTTACAATGCAATTATAAATAAGATTACATTGAAAGGTTTATGTTATGCATTTCGACTTGTATCACAAAAATATTTATGTTAGTTGCACTTAAGTTAGTTTAAAATAATAACTTGAATATCAAATATAATCATACTAATATTATAAATGTTATTAAATTAATTTGTTGCATATTTGGACCATGTCTTGCGACACGAAAAATATGAACTTCTTCAACTAATTATGATGGACAAAATCGCAGGCAAAAGACGAGTTGGAAGGAGGAGAAAGTCGTGGCTAAGAAACATCCGGGAATGGACCAATATTGCCAGCGTTGAACAACTTTTACGCTTGGCACAGGACAGGAAAGGGTTCGCTGAGCTGACTGCCAACCTCCAGTAATGGAGAGGCATTAGAAGAACAAGAAGAAATTAATTATAGATGGATGTATCTCCAAAACAGCTCAACGGATTTTGATGAAATTTGGCATACATATAGAACATAGTCTGGAATAACACATAGGCTACTTATTAAGTTTTTTTTAGTTCCATGCGGATGGAGTCGCGGGCGACAGCTAGTGAAATATAAGTAAAAGCGATCAAAAAGTAAAATAAAAGCAAAATTAAATTAAATAAGAAGCAACATTGTCAGAACTAAAGTGAAATCAAATTTGATACAACAGTTGTTATGGTAACACAATCACAACACACTAAATCCAACTTACGGTTGTTTCTCATATTCTGGATTAAATCGTTTGATGTTTTTCTGGAAATGTGGACTTTATTCAATACTCCATACTTGTGTCATTATTTTAAACTGATTTCAATTGTCTAGAATAACTTAACTTCAAGACGAAGTTAACTAGATACAAGACAAAGGAAAGATGTAAAATATAAACAATAAAAGAGAAATAATAGGAATCCTAAAACTTTAAAAATAATTCAAAAACCGAATCAATCCTTCCAAAATAATTTAAGATACGACTCATCTTATGATAGGACTAGCTAATATAAAGCTGTAAGCCTATACATTGCAAAAGACTTGATTATATATAAGAGAAAGTAACCAGGGTTAGACAAAGTGCATTCGCTTCTAAGCGATTCCATAGCGAACTTCAAAAATGTATTTTTTTTATAACAGAAGGGGCAGCGGGAACACCGAGGTGTTCAACGACGCCCATGGACATCAATACTAGAGGAACCGCAGATGCGTTGCCGACCTTTGAGATAGTGATAAGCTCGCTTCTTGAAGGACCCTAAGTTGTATTGGCTTGGAAATACAATAGGATAGACCATTCCAAAACGCTGATATGCGAGGCAGGAAGTTTCGCGCAAACCGCACGATTGTGGATTGCCAGCCATCAAGATGGTGTGGATGGATCCTGGCGGTCTGTCGGAATCGTTACAAACTCTTCAGAGAACTCCCCGTGGTAGATATGGTAGAAAATGCAAAGGGAAAAAATAGACGCGCGACAATCACGTGACTTATCGAGTTCTGTCAGTTTGTCAGTTATAGATTTTTAAAGTTCTTTATGGAATCGCTTCGTAACGAATGTATATTGTCTGATGTGCTGCTCTCTTTAATATCAATAGTCTTTTTAAAACGTATTAATATTTCTATTAATAATAATGACCAAGTATGAAGTAATATTTAAGATTTTAATGTGCCATGATGTAACATACAACACGTACAACATTTAAGAAAGAATACTATAGAAAAAAGAAAACAAAAGAAATCTAAATCTAAATAAAAATGTAAATTTACAAAAACTATGCAACAAAATTTAGAAAAGATAATATACAATTTACGAATTAAAAAAATGGGATTAAGAAAATATTTTTTTATTGTTCTTATTTCCATTTTCTTAATCCTAATATTTTGTTCATATCATCAGCTCACTATACGTCCCCACCGAGGGGCACAGAGCCTGCCCTAAGCTAGGGGTGATGAGGTCATAGTCAATGCTGACTTAGTGCAGGTTGACTTCACACATCTCTTTGAATTTCTTCTCAGATATGTGCAGCATCACGATGTATTCATATAGAATTA